ACCGTGTGGCCAATCTGGCAGCTACTGTGAAGTCTAGGAGATTGCTTTTCAGACCCCTGGTTCCAGTTTCAGCCTTTCCCCACCAAGGACCGGAACTAGTGCATGGTGAGTTCATGGGAGCAAGGGCAGAGTGCAAATCACACTCCAAATTCAAGGACACAGCATGCCATCTCTTCTCCCCAGGCTCATCCAGGTTCTAAGACTTTCATCCACCTTTATTCTCAAAGCCTCTTGGTCAACACAGGCACTCAGACTAAGTTAACAAACAAAAACACACCTTGGTGCTGCAGTCCCAAAGACAGTTTGGCCAGGGTGTATGTGGGGAAGGTGGCGATTCTTTATGAGAATGGAAGGTAAGGAAGACACATGCACAAACAGTTTCACCTACTCCAGGGCCACACCAGGACCTCCTGGTCTAGTTCTCCTATTTTCAACGACAATGTAATGCTTATAAATTGATCAAACCAATTTTATATTATTAATTTCACTTTGTTTCTGGAATAGGCAAGATAGAGTAGATAGTCATGTATCACTTAATGATGGAGACACATTCTGAGCAGTGTGTCATAGGCGATTTCATCGTGTGCGAACATCACAGAGTGTACTTACACAAACCAAGGTGGTAGAGCCTGCGACACGCCTAGCTGTATGGTATAGCCTATTGCTCTTAGGCTATAGATCCGTACGGCAGGTTATTATACAGAATACCACAGGCAATAGTAACACAATGTATTTGTATATCTAAATATGGTAACAAAGGCACAGTAAAAACACAGTATTATCTTATGAAACCATCATCATCATATGTGATCTGTAGTTGACCAAAACATTATATGGTACATGACTGTATAATTCTTAATTGGGCACATGAGTAAACTGAGGCATCAAGTGATTCAGTGACTCCTAAATGTTGACTGGTGAGTTGTGGAACCAGGATTAGAACTCTCACTCTGGTCTATTTCTACTATGTTGCAAATTCTGCTTTTCTGGGTTATATAAGGTTTTTTTTTATATTATAGTGAAATAGAATTAACTTTGTATCAGGAGTTTAGGGGTCCATGAAAATTGCATGCTCAATTTGATGTGCATGTAAGATCCTCCTTATGAGATGACTTACAGTTTTCATGAAGTTGCTAAAAGGGTCTCTGTAACCAAAAAGATTAAGAACGCTGGCGTGGTGTGTCACAATGAGACTGAGGTCAAGTCTAGGGTGCCCTTTTTACGGATTGTAAACCCAGAGAAGATGGATGTCGGGGGTGGGAATCATCTCCTTCTTCAGAGTCAGAGAGCACTGGAAGGTGGTACACGTGCTTACAGCTCTACAAGTGCATTCATACAAGCTTAGAACCTTAGATCAAGGAGGATTTTTGATCATTAAACCTGAGGGTCCACAAATCTGGCTACACATTAGAATCATATGGGGAGCTTTGAAAGACACCATGTCTGCGACCAGTCCCCAAGGATTTCTATTTTAATGGTCCTAAGACTCTGGCTTCTGTATTTGTTTTTAAAGCTCCTCAGATGATTCTCATGTACCAGAGTTAGGATTACCGATCTTCTAAATGAGTAGTTATCAACCTTGGCTGAACAATGAAATCACCTGGGGAGCTGTAAGAAGTCCTGTTGCCTCAATCTCACCCTCAGATCTTCGGATTTGTCAGGAGTGTGCCAGGCATGAGGAATTTTTTTAATGACCCCAGGTGGTTTTCACAGGCACTCCAATTTGAGAACCACTGTTGGGATCTAACCTGACACTTTCTGCTGCAAAGAAAACCAAGTCGAAGAGAAGTGGCCTAAGGTCATAGGGCTAAGACAGAACCAGGATTAAACCCAGGACCCAACTCTAGGCGTGGACTCTGCAGTTCACCTAGTCAAGGTCCATGGAGTTAACTTAGGCAGTTCAGGGTGGATCTGAGAAAGGGAGCTCGTCAGGGACAGGCCTTGCTTCTCTCTTTGACTAGAGAGAAACATCTAAACATATATATATGTGTGTGTGTGTGTGTGTGTGTGTGTGTGTGTGTGTGTGTGTGTGTGTGTTTGAATGAATGTTGTCCTGCTTAAGGGATGAAATCCCTGTGTTCTGGCCCAGATGCATGGTTCCCTGTGGCCCCTCAGATTGGTAGCTAACTCTACGGGAGACAACCTCTAAGATGAGCCCCAACAATCCATGCCTGCATTCACACCCTTGTGTGATCCCTGCAATGGAGTATGGCTAGACCCACAGATTTGCTTCTAATGAACAGAATATGGCAGAAGGGATGTGACGCTATTTCTAAGATTAGATTATAAAGACGTAGTAGCGTCTGTCTTGCAAACTTCTCTTGCTTACTTCTTTATTGCTCACTTTGATAGAAGCCAGTTGCCATGTAGTGAGCTGTTCTATGGACCCCCATATGGCAAAGACTGAGAGAAATTCACTGACCAACACTCAGTAGGGAACTGAGACCCTTAATCCAATAGCTGGGAGGAACTGAATTGCTCCAGCAACCATGTGACTGAGCTCAGAAGTGGATCCTCTCTCAATTGAACCTTCAGATGAAACAGCAGCTCCAGCCAATAACTGTACTACAGCCTAGTAAGACTTTGAGGCGGTTACCCAATAAGCCATGTCTGGATTCTTGACCCACAGAAACTGTGAGATAGTGTTTGTTGTTTCAAACAACAATTTAAGTTTTGAAGTAATTTGTAGGCAGAAATAGATAACTATTACAAAGTCCATGCATAAAAGTTCTTAAGTCAAGTTATAGTTGTTGAAACCAAGGTATCAAAAGACTAAATGTATTTTCCATAGTCAATCAGGGAAGCAGTGACAAAACAAGAAATGGAGTTTAGATGCCAGTTGATTCTCAGATTTATTCTCTCCTATAAAAAGGTGACATTTTTCTTGAAATAACGCTAGTAGAACCCACGAGATTGGTAGCCATGTTGCCTTCCTTACCTTCCCTTGACTTTCTTTTCAAATCTCTTTATAGAGTAACCGTTGAGCACTGAGCCTTTTCCCTGGAAATATTATTCCTTTAACAATGCAACTTTGTCTCTTCTAAAACAAAGAGATCCCAGGCATTCAGTGTGCATTCTAAAAAGTGAGATGCTGAGACATGGGAGGAAAGTGACTTTCAAATAAGCACGTAATGATCAGGTAATCTTCTCTCTCCCTTTCATGCTGAGAACAGTCACAAATTTTTCATTCCTGAGAATCTTGTTCCCAAATTGACAATGCTTCAATAAGCACCTTTTTGTACTTTCTTCTTAATCAAGTAGAAAGAAAAACCATCATAAATACAAGAGGAGTATTTTCCCCTCTAGTCAAAGTGTGTAGTCAGGAGCCCCAGCATTCTTTCCCGAGAGAGATAGTATGGTTCTAAACCACCACTTAGGCGACTGAGCACAGTATTTGGATAGAAGGATGCTTTGTATCAACCATGCCAATTAAAAAAAATCATTGAAGAAATCTAACATGCACTTTAGTAACAGTGAAGAACTGGTAACATTAGGATATATTCTAACACCTAAAATTAGGAAAAAAATCTAACCGAGTATTAGTAATACCAGGTTAGAGTACTTCCACTTAATAGGAATTGGATATGAGCAGAAGTTCTTTGAGAAAAAACTGAGGATCAGAAGTGTAAACATTTGTCTAAGGCCATAAACTAAGTTTCCACTGGAATCAGGATTTAATTCCACAATGCACTTTACCTTCTTAATTCTGGCTACTATTCTTATCTCAGAGAGAAGACTCATTACCCTTGAAAAACTCCTCCTGAAGGGGTCAATGTGAGAAACAGGAGGCAGGCCACTTGGACAAATTGTCTGCCATATAGCCACACACAGTAAACAAATCTCATAGAAGCTTTTGAAACAAAAGCAACACTATGAAGAGACAAAACTTAGCTTTACTAATAAGTTAAATCAGAAAAGAAAAAGACAGATCTAGAAGACACTATTTCCAAAACATGTATTCTATAAACTGAAAGGGAAATGCAAGTGGCCAGCTTTATTTTATTCTTTCACTGGCCAAGGGGGAGTGATGTTTCATGCAGGGCCACTTCACCACCAAGGACACTGACCGCTTCTCCGCCTCCAGGACCAGCACTGAGGCCAATTTCACCTTGATTCTGAATGTCTTCCACTTTGATGCAGGGCCATTTCACCACAGAGGACTCCAACCACTTCTCCGCCTCCAGGAAGAGCACCGGGGCTGATATCACCTCCATTCTGGTGGCCTTCCACAGTAACTCACTGCTGGACCCAGACATCTTTGCTGAAGTCAGTTGACTGGACAGTACAGTGCAGGATCTGTGTGTGGCGCAGGGAAACGTAAGCCAGATCCAGTACCAGTAGGTGTGGGCCAGGTACAAGATGCTCTGCGTGGTGCCCCCAACCCGCTCCTGTATGCCTGGCAGGTGAACAAAATGCTCGACCTGAGCCGCATCTCCTTCCCCATCTACAACCATGGTGGACACCCCTTCTACCTGACCAGCTTCTTCAGAGGACACATCTTTGGGGACAGCCTAGGAATGGACCAGTTACTCCTTCGGGCCAAAACCATGAAGCTGCTGTACTGCCTGAACCCTGAGCACCCTGAGGACTATGTGCAGAGCAAGCAGTGGCTCACCCATTTCCTTGATCAATTTAGCAACATTAAGAACAGCCTGACCTTGAAGAAAATTGAGGTACCTGGTGGTTTGGGTTTACAGGCAGGCCAGGAGAAGGTGGGAGGGATGAAGAAGATTTGCGCCCAGAACCCTAACAAAAGTACTGCATGACTATTTTATAGGGTCCTTGCCTCAAATCTGGGTTTGCTCTGCTGTATTTGGTACTCAATCCAATTTTCTTAACACTGACAAACTCCAGAAATCATGAATCCTGGGTAACACTGTGGTCGATAACACAAATCCTGTGTCCACCAGATGGGCCGGTTCGGTACGGACACTAATCTTCACATTTAATTTTGGGGTTTGGTTTCTAATCCAATTACAGTACTTTGAAATTCTACTTTCAGTTAAAGTCTTTGCTGGCTTTGAGGAGCCTTCTAAAACTTGTTTGGAGCTCGCTGGGATTAAAAAAGAAAAACAAACTTTTAAGTAAAAGTTAATGGTGTTAAGGTAAGTAGCTCAGCATTTTTCAAGTTAGAAACATATGAAGCACCCGGCTTAGCATGAGGTACATGTCAGCTGTTCAGCTATAGCTGGGTCAGCAACCCTATTAAGACTTATAAATAGAGGAGCAGTGGTGTTGGCAGCGTCAGGGCACGGCCCAGGAAGGAGCAGCAGCCACAGCGTCCATCCGCCTGTGGAGGAAGAGGCAGCCTTGGCGGGTCACCTGGGTTGCTCCACGTGACATATGTCATGATTTTGATGGCTGAAGTGTTTTGCCTTGTGTACACACTAGAGTTTCTTGATGTCTTCATTTGTGGATGGACAGGTTCTTCTGTGTTGCTCCAAACGACATAATTTCATTATTTTGGTAGCCAAAAAGCATTTCCCTTCAGTATATATACCAGAGTTTCCTGATCCCTTCATCTGTGGATGGACAGGTTCCTCCACGTGGTTGCTGATGACAGGGTTTCCCGAAGCTTTATGGCTGAAGAGTACACCGTCATGTATCTAACATGGCAGTTTATTTACCACTTCATCTGTGGATGGACAGGTTCATGTGATTCCTGCACTTCTGGAAGAAGCAAATACAGAACAGAGCTGGAAGATAAATGCCTAAATCAAATCATTGCAGATTCTCACTCAAGATGAGCTCATAATCCCAAATAATAAAACATATGATCAATGAGAGAGAAGAGAAAATGTGAGCAAGCAGATTTGATCTATCTGAACAAGAATATAATAAGCGTAATTAAACAAATTAAGGCCATAAAAGTATAAAGTAGAAATCAAGGAATAGATTTGCAATAGAACCAAATAGAACTTCTAGAAGTAAAATTACACACACAGAGAATCTAAGGCTTGTTGATCATACTGAGCAGCAGACTGAATATAGCTGGAAAGAATTAATACACTGAAAGACAAAACCAAGGAAATTAACCAGGAGGCAGCACAGAGAGATAAAGCTCTTGTCTAAACATGTCTTTATTTTGTCCTGTTGAATTACTAATTTAGATAGCTGGAAAGAGACTTATAAGTTTACTGTTGTCTTCCCTTGCACAGTTGATATATTATAGACTTTCTTTTACCGTAAAAAAAAAAATAAAGACTTATAATTAAGCCTGGTGAAAGAGACACCTGCTGGAAAGAGCCTTCAAAGACCAGGCCCACTTCAAATGATACTTATGCAACTGAAATAGTAAAAGACACCAGCCTAATAAAAATTTACAAAAAGTTATAATTTTTTTTCTTTTCTTTTCTTTCTTTTTTTTTCTTTTTGAGACAGAGTCTTGCTCTGTTGCCCAGGCTGGAGTGCAGTGGTGCAATCTCAGCTCACTGCAACCTCCACGTTTCAGGTTCAAGTGATTCTCACACCTCAGCCTCCTGAGTAGCTGGGAATACAGATGTGTACCACCACACCTGGTTTTTTGTATTTTTAGCAGAGACAGGTTTCACCATGTTGGCCAGGCTGGTTTCAAACTCCTGACCTCAGGTGATCTGCCCGTCTCGACCTCCCAAAGTGCTAGGATTATAGGAGTGAGCCACCACACCCAGCCAAAAGTTATAATTTCTACAGCTATTAATGAGAACAAGATATCACAGTTTTAGGCTGGGCACAGTGGCTCATGCCTGTAATTCCAGCACTTTGGCAGGCTCAGGCAGGTAGAGTGAGTGCTTGAGCCCAGGAGTTCGAGACCAGCTTGGGCAAACTGGTGAAATCCCATCTCTACTAAAAATACAAAAATTAGCCAGATGTGGTGGCACATACCTGTAGGTGTCTTGCTGTGTTTTCCAGGCTGGCCTCAAACTCCTTGGATCAACGGATCCTTCTGCCCCAGTCTCCCGAGTAGCTGGAAGTACATCCATGTGAATCCAGAAGGAAACTACTAGAGTTAATAAATTCAGCACAGCTTCAGGATACAAGACCAACACACAAAAATTAGTTGCTTTTCTGTACATGTGCAATGAACAATCTAAAAAGGAAATGAAGAAGGCAATTCCATTTAAATAGTGCTAAACAAATAAAATGCTTAGGAATAAATTTAACTAAGGAAGTGAAAGACCTACATGCTGAATACTACCAAACATTGGTAAAAGAAACGTAAAAAGACGTAGGTAAATGGAAAGATCCTTAGTTCCTGGGTTGGCAGACTCAATATTGCTAAAATACCAGTCCTATTCAAAACAATTTACAGATTCAACACAATCCCATCAAAATTCTGAGAATCATTCCTCCCCCTAGAAATAGAGAAGCCAATCCCTAAATTCAAATGGAATTGCAAGGAGTCTCAGATGACCAAAATAATCTTGAAAAAGAAGAACAGAGTTGGAGGACTCAGTATTATTCAGCCATAAAAAGGAATGAAGTTCTGATACAAGCTACCAGGATGAACCTTGAAAACATTATGCCTAGTGAAATGAGCCAGTCACAAAAAGACAAACATATAGTTCCACTTATATGAAATCTTTAGAATAGGAAAGTTCACAGAGACAAAGTAGATTAAACGTCAACTGCCAATGTGGGGCTGGTGGTGATGGGGAGTTACTGCAGAATGATAACAGAGTTCCTATTTGGGGTGATGAAAAATACTTGGGAACAGACAGTTGTGATGGCTGCATGACAGTATGGATGTAATTAATGCCACCAAATTATACATTTAAGAGTTGTTATAATAGCATATTTTATGTCATACATATTTTACCACAATAAAATATTTTTCACAAAGAGATTTAAAAACTCATAAAAGCTTTTTACCTGAAGCACGATGTGACTGCAAGCAGTCTGATGAGAACACACGCCAGGTAAAAACAAAGGGATCGCTGTCATAGACGTTGCCTCAAATTCCAGTTGTCTGGAAAGCGATGTAAAGTGAACTGCCTGCCACAAAAATGGATTCAGGTAAATAACTTTTATTTCCAGTATTTGTGTGTGAGTTACAAACACTATTGAAACACTTTATGTTAGTGACGAAACAATATGTTAAAATTCAGTAAAAGATCAAAATACATGGATTGTGATTTTAGAAGAGAGAAAATAATGTAGATTTGCTTCTTCCCACAAATCTATGAGTTCCTCCTAAAGTTTCTTTCAGATTCAAAGTTTAAATAAAACTCCTGAATATACAAAATCTGAATTCACAAAAAAAGAAAAAACAAAAAGGAGCTCTTGGCTGGGCGCAGTGACTCACGCCTGTAATCCCAGCACTCTGGGACGTCGGGGTGCGCAGATGACTTGAAGCCAGGAGTTCGAGACCAGCCTGGCCAGCATGGTGAAACCCCACCTGTACTGAAAATACAAAAATTAGTGGTAGCACATGTCTGTAGTCCCAGCCACCCTGGAGGCTGAGGTGGGAGAACTGTTTGAACCGGGGAGGTGGAGGCTGCAGTGAGCCTAGATGATGCCACTGCACCTTCAACCTGAGTGACAGGGTGAGACTGTATCAAATTTAAAAATAAAACAAAAGACCTCTTCCTTACAGAATTCCAAATAAGGTAAGTAGACAGAGTGATCGCATTTGAAAATATCATCATTTGATAACCACCACAGCTAGAATGGCAGGATCATACATTGTCCTTTTTGCTTGTCACAGGCAAGAAGTATCAATGGATGCTAAAATAAGAGGACAAAAAATACGATGAAAAGGAGTACATCTAATATAGTTTCAATGTATCTCTCCAAAAGAAATATATTCATTACAAGGGGAAAAAGAATAACTTCACAGAGGAAAAAGTTGGCATATATCACCCAATAGTAACCAAAGTCCCACCACCAGTAAATGGGACAAACAGACACCATGTGCCTCCCGACACTGTGCTTGAGAAACACTTCTGTGGAATTCCTGCCAAAAGTGCATAACCTGAATCCAACCATAAGGACACTCTGGATATATGTAAATTAAAGGGCATTCTACAAAATAATTATTTACTCTTCAAAAATGTCAAGGCCCTGGAAAGACAAAGACTGAAGAACCGTTCAGATTAAAAGAAACTGAAGAGTGGCCAGGCGCAGTGCCTCATGCCTATAATCCCAGCACTTTGGGAGGCCGAGGCAGGCGAATCACCTGAGGTCAGGGGTTCGAGACCAGCCTGGCCAACATGGTGATACCCAGTCTCTACTAAAAATGCAAAAATTAGCTGGGCGCAGTGGCACATGCCTGTAATCCCAGCTACTTGGGAGGCTGTGGCAGGAGAATCACTTGAACCTGGGAGGCAGAGGTCACAATGAGCTGAGATCGCACCATTGTACTCCAGCCTGAGCAACAGGGCGAGACTCCAACTCAAAAAAAAAAAAAAAAAAAAAAAAAAGAGAGGCTGAAGAGAAATAACTAAATTCAATGTATGATTCCAAACCCCAAACAAATTATTTTTCTTTTGCTATATAGGACATTAATGGGACAACTGACAAAATCTGTGCATAGACAATAGAGTTGTATCCATATTGATTTAAGAAATATACAAAGTATGTAGACATTAAAGACATCATGTCTGCAAGCCTACTCTCAAAATAATTCATTTTAAAAAAGAAATCAGAAAAACAGCCACTGCAGTTTTTTAAAAGAATACTGTGTGTGTATGTAGAGAATGATAAAGCAAATGTGACAAATATTAACATTTGGATGGAGTAATTTAGTAGGAGACACAAGAATTATTTCTCCTATTTTTACAAATATATGAGTCTGAAAAAAATAGACATACAATAAATGTAAACAAATAAAGGCAGTTAAGATAAACTATTTGTTTTCCCTAATAATACTGCCAGGATCATCTTTACTATAATCTCATCAGATCATCAAATTTCAAAGCTCGCGAAAAAAAAGTATTGTCTCCCCAAAACCTCCCAATTTACAGATGACGTTAGTAAGTCGAGATTACACCTAATTCAAGGCAAAGCCAAGACTATTACCTAGCTCTGACTCAGCTCAGCTACCTTTCAACTATTCCAAGCGGTCTTTTCACTCCTTTACATTCTTGTCTATGGTCTAAACACATGATACCAAAATACTTACCTCTATCTTCTCATATACTCTTATAAGTTAGTGTGACTAACCACTTTCAGGCCATCTAAATTTTATGTTTAAAAGGCATTTAAGTATCATTGCTCCTAACAGTCCTTAATAACTAATATCAATACATATGCAAAGATCAGAATACATGTCAAACACTGTAGCAAATGCTGAACATACAAAATTAATGTACTCTACTGTTAGGTACATGAAGACAGACACTAATTTTATGTTACTCAATATAATAACTCCACCTCTTAGTAACAGTGCATGGCATACAGTAAGTACTCAAATAACTGTTGTATATTGCAAAATAAAAGACAATCCATAATACAGGAAAGAAATGTGTACGGATAACCATAATATCAGTAGTTTTAATAAAGTCTCATGAGACAACAGATAAAGAAATTATTTTCTCTTGGTAAGATCTAGAAAGGCCTCAGAGATTTAATGATACCAAAGTTAAATCTTGAAGGACAAATAAAATGTCAACAGACATGGAGGTGGTGGAGTGGTAAGAGGAAGGTAGAAGAATTTAGATTAAAAAGCCCAAAAGCAACAAAATATTAGACATTTCTATTGAATTTTTAAACACAGGCTTACCTATTGTTGCTGCAAGTTCTGGATCAAAGGTATCATCTGTGAACCTCAAGAGCAGGCTGAAAGAGATATTAAAAAGACAGGTTAGGAATTAGAATTTTTCTTTCTAATCATATGATAAGTGTGTTCATGATTATTATATCTCGTCACAATTTATTAAATGCAAATAAAAATAACTGATGGAGGCCTGCTCCTAGGAATACTGCCTCAGAGCAGGCATACAGAGAATTAAATTACTAGAAAGGCAATTTAAAAACTGCCAAGAGCGGCCAGGCGCAGTGGCTCATGCTGATAATCCCAGCACTTTGGGAGGCCGAGGCGGGCGGATCACAAGGTCAGGAGATCGAGACCATCCTGGCGAACATGGTGAAAGCCCGTCTCTACTAAACATACAAAAAAATTAGCCAGGCGTGGTGGCGGGCGCCTGTAGTCCCAACTACTCAGGAGGCTGAGGCAGGAGAATGGTGTGGACCTGGGAGGCGGAGGCTGCAGTGAGCTGAGATCGCGCCACTGCTCTACAGCCTAGATGACAGAGCGAGACTCTGTCTCAAAAAAAAAAAAAAAAAAACCGCCAAGAGCAAAGTAGTTTACTATTAAATATATTCCCCATAATCTCCTACACAATCCCCCAAGTTCAAAAGGTGAGGGTTTTTTGTTGTTCTTTTTAACTGTTCTGATGTCCTGAGAAAATGATACTAGCAACATGTCACACTTTAATTGACATGGATGAAAAGGGAAAAAATAAAGTTTCTTGGAATGCAACAAACTAACTTAAAAAATCTGACGTGTAATCCACTTTAAATTCAAGCACAAACAGAAAGATATCAAAGTCTAGCATTCTGTAACATGCAGTATGGCTACTGCCTAAGTGGGAAGAAAAGATACAGTAAAAAGGTAAAAAAAAGATCACAGGACCGAGTAGGTATACTCAGGCAAACACCAGATAGGGTTTATAAAAACAAGTAGGCAACTGGAAGCTATTGAAGGCTTTTAAAGAAAGTTATGACAAGAAGTACTCTTTGTTTTGAAAAGTTAATGCCAACAAAAAATGGAAGAACAATCAACAGAAGTCAACTGCCACAGTTATGGCGGGAGAGAACAAAGGACTAAACTTAGGAAATGGTAAGAAACTAGAAAAGAAGGATAAAAGCAAAAGACACCAGATTAGAAGGGTACTCTAAGATTTTCCATCTTCCAGAATTATTTCACTTACTATGAAGCAGAAGTGTCAATTAGAAGCTCCTCAAAAATAAAAGCTAATGTTAAAGCCCTAAATTTTAAAATCATTCAATCTTCCCTCGTTAACTTCTAAAGTCTGTTCTGTTGATCTGTTTTTATTAATAATATCAAAGAAACAGTCATCAGATGTCTAAAATTATAGAAAAATCTTATGAATATTTCTAATATTCTAATTTCTAATTAGACTGTAACATTCATAAGGTTGTGATCACTGCTGCTAGCGATATGTTTTGTCCACAGAGTATTTTGCAAAACATAATGGCTTCCTGGTAGTTTCCAAACCCAGTGTCATTAATTATATTTGAAGGATTAACTCTACCTTACTTGGTTTTCTTGTGTTTACCATAAAACGAGCACCACAGAATCAAAGTACAATAGGAGAGTCAAATTCTAGAACTCTCTATTTAACATCTTAACTATATTTACTTACTTCAAACATAAGTTAGGTGACAGCACTAATAAGACTCTAAAATGAAACCTATAAAAATTTTCTTCTCTCCCAATACTCACTTACCCATAATTTAAAAATAGAAAAGATATGTGGTCACCACAGAAAAGATTACTACAAAAATGTAAGTTAATATAACGTTGTAGAAGAGTGTAATAATAATATTATAATAATAATCCAAGTAATAATGATACTGAGTATTATTTATTGAACATATGGCAATGTACAGACAAAAAGCCAGAGGTTTTTCTCTCATGGTTGCTAATCCTTACAACCACCATTGTCATTAACGGTACTTCATCAGGAGAGGCAGGAAATTGGTGGTATGGTGTGAAGTAACAAATTTTAATACAGGCTCTGGGTATGCATCAGATCTTAGCAAGGGGTACCCTGGTAGCCCAAAATGTATTCTAAATTCTATGTGTGCATTTTTCTAGGCAGAGTCCATTTCTCTATTTATTAGACTTTGAAAGGGGCAGAGAGTCCATTTCTCTATTAGATTTTGAAAGGAACTGGCAATCTCAAAATGATTAAGCACCACCCTTTTTTTTTAAGAGACAGGGTCTCACTCTGTCACGAAGGCTGGAATGTGGTGGTACAATCTTAGCTCACTAATCCTCCCACCTTAGCCCCCCAAGTAACTGGCATGACAGGTTAGCATCACCATGGCTGGCTAATTTTTTTTATTTTTCAGTTTTTTAGAGGCATGGCCTTGCTATGTTGCCCAAGCTGGTCTCGAACTCCTGGCCTCAAGTGATCCTCCTTTCTCAGCCTCCTGAGTAGCTAGGATTACAGAACGAGCCACCGCACCTGCTAGAAGCACCATTCTTACAGTATTGTATATTTATACCTTCATACTTCAAAGTTAAAGGAGTAAAATGCTTTCCATGCAGAGGTAGAGATGGAAGGAGTAACTACCACCATGGCACTTAGATAAGATCAAATTTAAAACAAACAGAGTGTGATTATAAGTAATCTGCATTTCTTTATCTACAAATGAAATTCACCAAAATGAATGGCAAGGCTAGGAGCATAGGAGGGACAGCAATTTACGTTAACAGGCCTCTTTAATCCCTTCCAGTTCTTGATACACTCTGCTACCTCTACCTCACCGGGTCTAGCCACAGAATTGGAGTCTTACACAGTCAACACTAGATAGGGTTTGAGAAGTATCTATTCCAACCCCCTCACTTTTGAAATGAAGGCCTAGAGCATTCAAGTATCACACATAAGGCCACACAAGTGGCAGCCCCAGTTTCATAATCCTGATCTCCTGATTACTACCATATACCCTTTGGACTCCAACACCAAGAAATAAACTAGAAAGTAATCCACTACTTTGGCTTAAAGATATCCTTCATCGTACAATAATTCCCCAACAACATGAGTGCTATTTCACTTCCACTAGTTCCAGCGCTGTAAAGAAACAGAACAAACTTGGTAAAAACAACCCTTTAAGATCACATCCATGACAAACGTTTCTGTACTCACTCACTTTAAATATAGACTTCTATTTTAGTGGAGTCATTCTTATCCAGAAAGGTGATTACGTGTTTAAGGTTCTTTTCCATAGCATATCACATAGGACAATAATGTATATCTAGCCAAATAAGACAACTTTCTCACTAAATGCAATCCTTTCACAAAAGAGGTAAAGTGTCAAAATTTTGCAGTGAGCAATTGATAATCCACCACTATGCAATGAGGGAAAAGTTTAAAAAAGATCAGGCCTAAATACAATTTGTTTCTGGGGAGTGAACTAGAGAGACTGATACACCCATTTAACAGAACTTATTCTAAAAAGGGACTCTCAGCTGAGTGCCATGGCTCATGCCTGTAATCCCAGCACTCTTGAGAGGCCAAGGCTGGAGGATGGCATGAGCCCATGAGTTTCAGAATAGCTTGGGCAACATAGGGAAATCCCATCTACAAAAAAAATTTTTTAAAGTAGAGCCGGGTATGGTGGCTTATGCCTATGATCCCAGCATTTTGCAAGGATTCATTGAGGGCAGGAAGATCCGTTGAGCTCAGGAGTTTGAGATCACCCTAGGCAACACAGCAAGAACTTGTCTCTATAAAAAACCCTAGCCAGGAATGGTGATTCGTCCCTATAGTCCCAGCTACTCAGGAGGCTGAGGTGGCAGGATCGATTGAGCCCGGGAAGTCAAGGCTGCAGTGAGCCATGATCACACCACTGCGCTCCAGCAGGTGACAGAACAAGACCCTATCTCAAAAAAAAAAAAAAAAAGCGGTGGCGCAGGGGGGACGGGGAACCAAACTCATTTATGTACTCTAGTTAATTTTCCAGAAAATTTTAACCACCCTAACTTGTCACCCATGCAATACATTTACATAAAGTGCTAACCAATTTCAACCCAATTTCATGTATTGGGTTGAACTACGTGAAATGAACAACCAACCATTCGTGACTTCAAAAATGCCAATTTCATAGGTCTGAACTTAAATGAGAACCATATGTCAAGGAAAAAAGAGAGAAATGAAAAAGAAAGATCACAAGGTTATGAAATTCCTATTAAGGCAATTTTTATTACATTAACTTTTTAACCCTCAAATATGTACGTGCAATAACAGATGATCATGTAAATAATTTTATTCATCCGTTTTACACACACACACAAAAATCATACTGGTTTGCTTACCCATAGTGTTTCATTATTCTATTCCTTGGTATGTGCAAATCCCTCTGACTATAGTAGACATAGAGTACATTAAGTGAGGAGTACTGGAAAAATGTATTGTCAAACTTTAAAAATACAAAAAATTTCAGAATCTATTACATAGTAAGCTTTAAAATCCTGAAGTAGCTAAAAAAGTAAGACTTTGTAATCTTATTTATTTATTTATACTTTAAGTTCTGGGATACATGTGCAGAACGTGCTGGTTACATAGGTATAAAACTTTGTAATTTTATGGTACATGAGGAAAGCTTTCATTCTATTTTGTATAAGGATACCTCAATTTGTAAAATCTTACATGAATAACAAGTTATTTGAAAGATATGTATCAGCCAGGGGCGGTGGCTCACGCCTGTAGTCCCAGCACTTTGGGAGGCTGAGGCGGGTGGATTACTAGAGGTCAGGAGTTCGAGACCAGCCTGGCCAACATGGTGAAACCCTGTCTCTACTAAAAACACAAAAATTAACTGGGGGTGGTGACACACACTTGTAATCCCAGCTACTCAGGAGGCTGAGGAAGGAGAATCGCTTGACCCCGGGAGGTGGAGGTTGCGGTGAGGTGAGATCTCGCCACAGCACTCCAGCCTGGGCAACAGAGCAAGACTCAGTCTCAAAAAAAAAAAAAAAAAAAGGATACGTGTATCAGAAGATATGAAACTGATTACAGTTCCTGGAGTGTAAATGCGGTTTAAGGATCAGGACGGCCTTAAACATAACCTACCATAATCAGAGGGCAAGAATGAATTCATCTGGAGAACTCTGTTTCAAGACCTGGACGAAATCACAACCCTCTAGCAACATCCACCTAGATCCATGTCTTACCTTATACTCAACTCCACTGTCAATATTATTTTCCCCAAGGAAAAAAGTCAAAAATGAAAAGACAACACTAATCTTCTGTCTCCATAGGATGTGGGAAAATGAGAAATAAAAACTACATTTTATTTTCAAAGGTGACCCACGGCTGAAGCACTCAGACCTTACACTAAAGCGAAATTTTCCAGCAGTCACAAGATCCAGGAGTTCTTCCACAGCCGAGTAATAAAAAAGTAAAAGAAGCGACATTAGGCTGCGCCCAAACAGGCCAGGAATGGGACCTAAGGCCTCACGAAACTTCCCGAGGACATTATGTATTTAGAGAAGGCCCCACAGAAACCCTCAAGTGGGAAAGTTATGTCTCCCGGGTCTCGGGGTGACAGGCAGCCTGAACCCTGAGCTGCTCGAGACGAGGCGCCCCCCCCCGGCCAGATTCGGGCCCAAACCAGCCCGCCACGCCCTGAGCTCGGCACAGCAAACCGGCCGGCGGAGCGGCGGCCCTCCGAATGGTGTTTTCTCGGCGCCACAGGAGGGAGAGCGACGCAGAGAACTTGGGCCTGGCAGAGGCCGGGAACCAGGCGCGCGGGTGGGGAGAGGGGAGCAGAAGCCGCAGGAGAGCGAGGCCCAGAGGCCGAGGAGGGCGCGAGTAGGGCCGACCCCAGCCCAGCCGCCATCGTGGACGCTTGCAGCGGTTGAAGGTTCCCATCCCGGCCCAAGAGACAGCGGCCACGTAGGCAGAAAGAGCCCAGCCACCCTCATCACGGCCCGTACGCCCGCCTCACCTGTACTTGCCCACCCCACTCTCGCCGATGATGAGGCTCTTCAGGGTGCAACACGTCCTTGTCCATCCTGAGGCCGCTGCACTCCGAGCCCAGCTGGCAGCCCCAGTGCGCCTCTCAGCTATTCAGCAGCGGGAGCTGCCGCGCATGCGCGCGCTCCAGGGCCGCGCACACCCAGAATTCTCCCCCGTCCCTCTGGAAGGCGGGTTCCTTATGTGTCTTTGCTGGTGCGGGGGGAGGGTCTAAATCCGCCCCGACCTCAACCCAACTCTCTGTCGTGTCAGTGAGAGAGGACTCAGTCAGGAGAATATCAAGCTGTTTTATTTCAGCAAATGTTCGTAACAGCTGTATTGCGGTGTGAAATGCACTGTGCTTGAAGACTGTTACCTTAAATTTAGGTCCAACTCTACCATAATGACTGCCTTGTCATTCTACTCAGCCTTCTGCGCCTTTCTCCATCTCAGAGAAAGACACAAAGGCTTCTTAGAATAACTGCTTCTTATTGTTACAAAGGTTAAATGAGTTACTTAGGGAAGACAGATTGTTAACCACAGTACTGTATAAATGGTGTGATCAGGCATTAACTTGCTGGCTTCCCCTCTGTTAGAGTTAATTCATCTAGAAAGGGAGGTGTAGACTTCAGGTAGGTCAGGTGCATATAAACTTCTGGTGGTGCAACTTCAAACCAACTCTTCCTCCTCATAAGAACTGCTGCGTTCCAACTGCAGGAAGTGTATGTCTACACCTTGCCTCTTGCACTAAGTTGTAAATCTTAGTGAAGATACCAAACCTCATTCATAAACTTAGCACAGTGCCTGGTACATGGCAGACACTCAATAAACATCCGTAATTTTGTCTTATCTCCTTATACCTGCAGTTAATGTCTTATACAATAGATATTTGATTAAAGAATACATACACGTAAAGCTTAGCCGGGTGCTGTGGCTCACGCCTGTAATCCCAGGACTTTTGGAGGCCTAAGCAGGTGGATCACTTGAGCTCATGAGTTCGAGACCAGCCTGGCTAACATGTGAAACCCCGTCTCTATTAAAAATACAAAACTTAGCTGGGTGTGGTGGGGCACACCTGTAATCCCATCTCCTCAGGAGGTGGAGGCAGGAGAATCGCTGGAATCTTAAGAGGTGGAAGTTGCAGTGAGCAGAGATCATGCCACTGCACTCCAGCTTGGGCGACAGAGTGAGAGATACCGTGTCTCAAAAACAAAAAATAAAATGTAGAATAAGTTAAGAAATTACTTGTTAAATACCTGGAAAAGCTCTTTCACCAGATATCCAAATGGCTTCTTCGTCTACTTCAGATATTTGCTCAAATATTGCCTTCTTAAGGAGGCCTTCCCTGCCCATCCTACTGAAATATACAGATTCCTCCAGCATCTCTGAGGAATCCAGAAGCCTGGCATGCTGGCAAAAGGGTAAGAATTTCTTACCAGTCAGACTTCTGTCCTCTTTCTCTGTGCAAATCAGTTGAATGAATAGTAAAAATCACCGTTTATCTCCTTCGTAAAGTTTTGATTAATAGAATGAAGGATTCGTGAGGCTAATCTTAAGCTGTAGTGAATCTAGTGTGCTTTGTATGTCTTTCTGTGTTCTACAATGGAGGGGGTAACTTAGGACAGAACACAGGCTTAGGAAACCTGTAAGCCTGCTTCTCAAGATGGCCTAGCAAACTGGTCAGTTACAAACTTTGCTGCAGGTCTCTGAAAAAAAAAAAAACTGGATGAGGTTTCCCTCTTGTCTTGTATCTCCTTGTGAGAGGTGAAGCCCACTGGGCTTCTGGGTCTGGGGGGGACTTGGAGAACTTTTCTGTCTGGCTAAAGGATTGTAAACACAGCAATCAGCGCTCTGTGTCTAGCTAAAGGTTTGTAAACACACCAATCAGCACTCTGTAAAAATGGACCAATCAGCACTCTGTAAAATGGACCAATCAGTGCTCTGTAAAATGGACCAATCAGCAGTACATGGGTGGGGCCAAATAAGGGAATAAAAATCGGCCAGGGAGCCAGCAAGGGCAACCCACTTGGGTCCCCTTGCCTACTCTGGAAGCTCTGTTTTTTCCCTCTTCACACTATAGCTTGCTGCTGCTCACTCTCTGGGTTTGCACTACTTTTATGAACTGTAACACTCACTGCGAATGTCTGTGGCTTCACTCCTGAAGTCAGTGAGACCACGAACCCACCAGGAGGAACAAACAACTCGGATCATGCCACCTTTAAGAGCTGTAGCACTCATTGTAAAGGTCTGCAGCTTCACTCCTGAAGTCAGCGAGACCACGAACCCACTGGAAGGAAGAAACTCCGGACAGATCTGAACATCTGAAGGAAAAAACTCTGGACACACCATCTTTAAGAACTGTAACACTCACTGTGAGGGTCCGCAGCTTCATTCTTGAAGTTGGCGAGACCAAGAATCCACTGGAAGGAACCAATTCCGGACACATTTTGGCGACCCAGGGACTACCGCCTATTGCCAAATAGTGAGTACCATCAGACCCCTTTCGCTTGCTATTCTGTCCTATTTTTCCTTAGAATTTGGGAGGGAAATACCGGGCACTTATTGGCCAGTTAGTTGCAAGTGACTAGCGCGGCCGCCAGATTAAAGACACAGGTGTTAGGCTTTCTGGGAAAGGGCTCTCTAACAACGCCCGACTCTTCAGAATTGGGAGTGTTGGTTTGCCTGCTTCCACTTTTCCTGTACTTCTGGGCTGAGCCGAGGGTCGACAGAGAGGAAAGCCATTCAGCTCCAGGGTCCTGACAACAAGTTGGTTGACCCTGCAGCCATGAGCAAACTCTCAAAGTCATGGCGCCCAAGCGAGACTTGCCCATCTATCCTATCTATCCTGACCCTTGTCGCCGGGTCCTAACGTCTGTCTGACAAACTTCCTCTTGCCTCTCTTCTCTGAGGCTAGTCCTGCTTCTACAAACCACTCCGTGTCTCTGGTGCTTTTCTAGTTTCTCCTATAAGAATGATTTCTAGTATAAACTTCAGGACTCTGTGACCTTCTTTAGGCACATGGGCCCACTAATCAGAAAGATGTAATTTTTGCCCAAAGCCCTGTCGGGGCTGGGGACTACCTTATCTGGAATTTTAGGATCCTTCCTCAGCCTAGCAGGCCTAACAAAAGCTATTGCGGAAGCTAGGATATGGGGAGCTTCAGAAATGATATCCTTCCTATTCATATAAGCAAGGACAAAAGGCGTCACTCCAAAGTTGGAACCCTGGAGATCCCTTCCCTCCCTCAGGGTATGGGGCCCTCTACTTCATTTTTGGGGCATAACATCTTTATAGGACATAGGTAAAGTCCCAATACTGACAGGAGAACGCTTAGGACTCTAACAGGTTTTTGAGAATGCATCAGTAAGGACCACTAAATCCGATTTTTCTCTGTCCTCTTTGTGGACTAGGACAGGCAAGGGTGCAGGTTTTCAAGAAAGCATTGGTAAGGGCCACTAAATCTGACATTCCTTGGTCCTCCTTGTGGTCTAGGAGGAAAACTAGTGTTTCTGCTGCTGCGTCGCTGAGCACAACTATTCCAATCAGCAGGATCCAGGGACCGTTGTGGGTTCTTGGGCAAGAGGTGTTTCTGCTGCTGTGTTGTGGAGCGCAACTATTCCAATCAGCAGGGTCCAGGGACCATTGTGGGTTCTTGGGCAGGGGGAGAAAGAAACAAACCAAAACCATGGGCAGTTTGTCTTTCAGACGGGAAACACTCGGACATCAACAGGCTCACCCTTGAAATGCATCCTAAGCCATTGGGACCAATTTGACCCGCAACCCCTGAAAAAGAGGTGGCTCGTTTTTTTCTGCACTACAGCTTGGCCCCAATATTCTCTCTCTGATGGGGAAAAATGGCCACCTGAGGGAAGTGTAAGTTACAATACTATCCTGCAGCTTGACCTTTTCTGTAAGAGGGAAGGCAAATGGAGTGAAATACCTCATGTCCAGGTTTTCTTTTCATTGAAGGAGAATTCACAGCTATGCAAAGCTTGCGATTCACATCCCACAGGAGGACTTCCCAGCTTACCCCCATATCCTAGCCTCCCTATAGCTCCCCTTCCTATTAATGATAAGCTTCCTCTAATCTCCCACACCCAGAAGGAAATAAGCAAAAAATCTCCAAGGGACCACAAAAACCCCCATGCTATCAGTTATGTCCCCTTCAAACTGTAGGGGGAGGGGAATTTGGCCCAACCTGGGTACATGTCCCTTTCTCCTTCTCTGATTTAAAGCAGATCAAGGCAGACCTGGGGAAGTTTTCAGATTATCCGGATAGGTACATAGATGTCCTATAGGGTCTAGGGCAAACTTTCGATCTCACTTGGAGAGATGTCATGCTGTTGTTAGAGCAAACCCTGGCCTTTAATGAAAAGAATACGGCTTTAGCTGCAGCCTGAGAATTTGGAGATACCTGGTATCTTAGTCAAGTAAATGATAGAATGACAGCTGAAGAAAGGGACAAATTCCCTACCAGTCAGCAAGTTGTCCCCAGTATGGATCCCCACTGGGACCTTGACTCAGATCATGGGGACTGGAGTCTCAAACATCTGTTGACCTGTGTTCTGGAAGGACTAAGGAGAATTAGGAAAAAGCCCATGAATTATTCAATGATGTCTACCATAACTCAGGGAAAGGAAGAAAATCCTTCTGCCTTCCTCAAGCAGCTGCGGGAGGCCTTAAGAAAATATACTCCCAGCAGGCAAGGTGGCTCACACCTGTAATCCCAGCACTTTGGGAGGCCGAGGCAGGCAGATCACAAGGTCAGGAGATCGAGACCATGGTGAAACCCCATCTCTACTAAAAATACAAAAAATTAGCCGGGCGCGGTGGTGGGCGCCTGTGGTCCCAGCTACTCAGGAGGCTGAGGCAGGAGAATGGCGTGAACCTGGGAGGCAGAGCTTGCAGTGAGCCGAGATCATGCCACTGCACTCCAGCCTGGGGGACAGAGCAAGACTCTGTCTCAAAAAAAGAAAATATACTCCCCTGTCACTTGACTCCCTTGGAGGTCAATTGATCCTAAAAGATACGTTTATTATCCAATCAGCCACAGATATCAAGAGAAAGCTCCAAAAGCGAGCCCTGGGCCCTGAACAAAGTCTGGAGGCATTATTAAACTGGGCAACCTTGGTGTTCTATAATAGG